CACGCGTTTCTCGTTCGAATCGACGGTACACAATTTTACGCAAGTGCGTGTCTGGCTGCGTGCGCCCTGCGAAAGCTCGCAAGCCCCCTCCGAAGGGTGAATGGAGCCTCTAATTTAGTCGGTGCCACGACCTCCCTACGATTCGTACGAATCCACGCTCCCGTACACTCGTCAAACTTTGTCTTTTTTTTCCTCGGCAATTTTTTTTTTTTTTCTTTTTCTCTTTCTTTTTCTTTCCCTTCCAGTGCTTCGATCCAGTGTTCTCGTCGATTCCGATTTTTTCTCTCGAGTTTTCAATTTTTTTTTTCTACCAAGTTCTAATATGTTCTCCTCAATCAATTAAATCAGAGTGAATCTCGATAAATCTTGAACTACGGAATGTGTGGTAAAGTGGTTTGGTTCAAAATTTTGAGTCAAAAACTTGATCGATCTCCCCGCCGATAATTTTCTTTCTTCTCGACCGGTGCTTCCATCGATCCATTCACGTGCAATTTTAAAAGTTAAACTTGCCTTCCTAATATTCTTTGTTTCATTCTCGTGATTTTACGATATTCGAGTCATCATTTACGGTGATTTAATAAAACGATTGAATGGAATCCAACATTTTGGAACACGGTGAAGTTTAATCGAACTACTGAACAATCCAAAATTGATTTAAATATTGCTAAAAAAAAATAATCTAATATCCATGAGGATAATATATTATCGACTGTATTAAAAATCTTAACACATAGTTACTCGATGATTTCATAGATGAGTATTATTGAATTTAAAAAATTTTGTTCTTTATAATTAACTTATACGTGTATACGATTTAATTTCGATTTGGAAATATTCGACACGCGCCATCACACGTAACGTATGTATCTAAAATAGATTCTTTCTTTTTTTAACAATGCTGTTAAAACTACCACTCTCGAGCATACGAGCAATCGTGGTGACACGAGGACACGACAAGGTATCTCGACAGATATCGTGAGAATTGGCTTCGTTCGAAGGCCCTCGATTAATTCAACGAATCCATTGGATAAACGCAGAGAGTGGATCGAAAATTCGGTTGAAAGCTGGATTATTGATTTTTCAGCCGGTTGTTCAGCAACAATGACAGTTGGTCAGCATTGTTGAGCATGAGGCATCGGTAGGCAGCTTCAGGGAGTTCGTTGAACGTTAGCTTCGAAGAATACGGGGTATTGTGTAATATGAGTAATTGTTGCAGTATGTGACTGGTCACTGGTTGAGTCAATTAAAGGAAAGAGAAAGAGAGAGAAAAAAGAAAGTGTTTAAAAGTTTGAAAAGAGAAAGAAGTGACAATGACGAAAGTTCGAAACGTTTGACTCATAAGTAAGGAAAAAAGATTTATTTAAAAAAAAAAAAACCGTCGCGTATTCAACAAACTTTCGTTTATAAAAAATGAAACATCGATGACCGGAAGAATATATTAAGTTGGAATAAAATTTTAAGACAAAAGAGAAGAGAAACGATATAGCGTTGTAATTTTCCTTACGCAAGGAAAGGTATAAAATTATAAACAGAGCGATTCGACAGAGCGAATATTGGATGTCGGCCGTATGGCAGGGATGAATGGGCAACATCCGGTTTTCTGATTCACCAAGATATTCTTGAGAAATGCGTAAGACACACGCCTAGACGTTTGCTCGATCCAATATTGTCTTAACTGATGGATAATTGATAAAATCGAACCGTTCTCGCCTTTTAACATGAGAGAAAAATAACCGCTGTTTTGCATCATTTAATCTCATCCCTACGAGATAAACGAAGATTGTTTCATCATTGGTTACAAATCGATCGATCGATGTATTTGTATTTGTAAAAAAAAAAAAAAAAAAAAAAAAAAAAAAAAAAAAAAAAA